TTGGTGTCATCCTCGAAAGGATGGTAATAAAGGACATACGTCACAAAAGTTGGTGGTCTTGGCATAATGGAGATGATGATAACCAAAGGAACAAGTCACCAAGTTAGGTGTTTGATAAGCCTTGATTAATGGCTAAAAATGTAGGTTTGCATGCATAGTTGATAAGACTTGGTTAAAGGCTAAAAATGGTAGGTTTGTATGCTTAGTTGACGGTTATTTGGGATGAAACATGTATGTTCATGCATATAATTTAGGAAAAATGTGTATAATTTGTGATTAGGGACTTTGGAATTCAGTTATAGGTAAATGAAGGCTAATTTGGATAAATATGCTTATTTTGTAAGGAAAAGTGAAGATTTATGATCACAATGCGTCAGACACATTGTAGGACCAGAAATTCTAGTTTACTAGAGGAATGAGCCAACCAAGTTACTTTGAAATTCCAGCTTTACAATGCTTCAGCCACATTAAATGTCTAGATTGTCAAAACGAGAATAACAACTTTTGACCAAGTAATTGATTCAAGATTTGTTATTAGTTCCTAAAATCTCTACAACCTCATTTGGTTCCAACCTCCCATCATTTCTCAACATCTTGTTACCTCCATGGCCTATAAAAAGAGCTCCCAATCATCAAGACATCTCATTTTTCCATACTTTTGTTCTTCCTTTCTATTTGTTATCAACTTTAGTTTTTAAGTTTTGTTTTTCAATTACTTTTCTGCAATTACTCTTGTTTATTTCATTGCAGTTCAATTTGTTCCATTTTGTAATTTCTTTCAAATTTCAATTAAAATGCATTCTTTTGTTATCTCATCTTATATTTTCATTTCTTTCATTTCCATGAGTAGCTAAATTGTTTATTCAACCCTTCTACAAATGATTTAGTTCATCTATTTTAAATTACATCTATCAGTGAGCACGACATATAACGCTCTATTTGCTTATCTTGATTGATACAATTTATCCAATTGATTTTCTTGCTGGTCACTTGTTTGAATCACGTTAGTTTGAATTTAATTATGAGAATGTTAGAGTTAAACGGATCTCATCAAGGTACAACTGGAAGTTATTTAGAAATATGAACTAAAACAAGATCCTAGACATAGACTCTCTTACCCGTTAAAACGTAAGTTGAAACTTGATTTATTTAAGATTCTAGAGTTGAATAGACATATGTAAACACTAGCCTAAGTTTCTAAATAAATCAAAAGCGGTATGGAATAGGAGTTGAACCAATTTGCATAAATCGAGCATAATTACAAGCACATTTAGTAGGTGTAATTCATCCTTCATTACTAGAAAAATGGCCTTCAATGACAATTATAAATTGTCATAGACATCATTTATGACAGTTTAATCATTGTCACCTTTTAAGGCATTAAGAAAAGCAATATATAGTTTGAAAAAATTGTCATAAATACAATTACAACGACTGTTATAGTTTGTCATAAATGAATCATTCATCACAGTTAAAAACGGTCACGAATAACATATTTGATGACAATTTATATTTATCATGAAATAGAGCAAAAATCTCGTATCTCAGTCTAATAAGAGGTTTTCATGACAATTTTTAATTGTCAAGAAAATCCTTTCAACAATATTTTTCAAGTGTCACGACAAATTGTATGACAATTTAACAAATGTCATGAAATATTTAATAACGACATTCTCTTCATTGTCATGAAAACTTGTATAACGACAATCAATAACTGTCATAGTACATGTAATAACGACATATTTTAAGAATCACAAAAAATTATTTTGTGACAATTTAAATCTTTTTTGTTGACTTTTACGACTGTCATAAAACCTTTAACCATGACAATAGTTGATTTTGGACATTGTCAAAAGAAGTTTAACAAAGACAATTTAAATCTTTGTTGTTGACATTTATTGCACTTTTTTAACTATCATAGCTATGAAATTGATGACAATTTTCATATAACTAAATAAAATCTATGATGACACGTTTTTTAAAATTATTTTCCACAACTATAGCTAGTACCTATCCATTATGACATATTTCACATACAAAATTGTATATAGTCTTACATCAACCTCGTGCATTATTAAACTATATTCAAATGTAAATGAACCAAGTATATAAATAAAGTGTTCATGTAGTAAGATATATATTGACAGTTCAAAATTCTCTATACCTGTAAATTCCAAACTGTAACAAAGTTGCATAAAATAAGGTCAAAGTCTTCATATACATATACAAACTAAATATGATCAAATGTGTACATTATACTTTATACAAATACCTATAACTACAATAAGAGAAAGAAACCTACGTTTCATACACTAACCTAACAAACTATATTTACATCACATCAACTTTGTACATGTTGAAGCTATGCCAAAATTCTTCCCCAAACATTCCCCTTTCTCAAAATGTTGCTCCCACCAACCTACTCTTCCAACAAAATAAAAACGAACGATTAAGAAAATATCTAATATCAACTCTCACATTTCTTTCTAACTCCAACATGCATTACATTGGAGTAATAGATAATCACACAACTTCCTTAACAATCATTATGATGATTCAATGATATAGATAAAAAGAACAACAATTGCATAGATATATGAATCTGAAATATTCACTACAACATATATCAATCTTATACAAATATATAAATCAACACACAATATATAAATTTGAAGGGGTAAAATGTTAGCATCTAACTAACATTTATATGTTTCACACACTAACCTAACAAAGTCCATAAATCAATTAGTTGCAATCATGGTTTTTAACTTTTTTAAGTTCGTGCAATATGTAAAGAAGAAAACAGTATCAAGTTAGCTAAATGAATAAGAGAAAATTATATATTATGTGAAAATGAACTCATATGTAAACTCAAACTAACCTGATCGTTAACTCTTACCATCAAACCACACATATATAAAGATAGAGCTGAAATTTCAAGTAAAAAAGAAAGATAAGGCAGTAAACCAACCTGGGCATGGTGAATGTCCATCTTTATATGCTTTCTAAACAAGGGATGTGATGGGTGAGTGTGTAATCTAACTCACATCTAGTGGCAGTTCTTTGTGTCGTGCCGAAAAGTTCCTCTATCTCCAACTTTCCTTTTAAGTAGTTGCTTCAAGCTTTTCCTTTTAAGTAGTTGCTTCAAGCTCTTGAAGAATGACCACAAGCTTAAGGAAGCAAATATAATAACAAGAAAAAACTTAGTCACTTAATCTTTTTGGATTTTATGACTTTCAAATGATGAGCTTTCTACCAAATGCAGAGATACAAAAGCAAAAGAAAAAGTTCACTAAAGAAGAACTTGCAAGAATTATCTCTTACAAGATGGAAGAACTAGAACTCAATAGAATGCATACTCTACAACTAAAAAACTCAATTCTATTTAACTTTGATCAAACACATTACTCATAAAAATAAGTTTTGATTCCATGTTTCAACAAAAAGATCTTGAGAAAAAATCCAGCTAAAGCCCCAACCTCAAAATACAAGAGAGTAAATAGTTGAACCAGGATATTTAACACAGTTACATACCTCCTCATTTAGATTTGAGAACTCAACTTTTCCATCAATTCGTCCAGGTCTGAGAAGAGCTTGATCAAGAATGTCAATATGATTTGTGGTCATCAAAACTTATCAATATCGTGGTAGTTAGTACACCATGTCAACAAGCATAATGTTTTACTAATTTTTTTCTTTTCCAAAAATTTAAAAAACTCCACTACACATACCTTGATCTTGTTTGATGCTTCAATAACCATCCAACTGACAGAAAATAATTTTCATTCTAATGATTCTTCGATGCCACTAACTAAATGATAGAAACCGAGAAACACATAAAAGAAAAAATATACTAATCAACTTCAAAAGGACAAGGAAATAAATTCTAGTTTTGAGTGAAAATAAAGTGAAAATATAATTGAATGATATACCTCCATGGCCACTGTCTCTTTTAGGACCTCCACGGATACAAAATGCAGCACCCACTAATAGAAAGAAAGAGAAAAAAAACTAATCAGACAAAGCCATGAAAGTTTTGGCATTATGAAAAATGAAATCAATGAATACCAACAAAAATTTACATGAAATTGGATGTGTTCTAGAAAACAAAATACATAAGCTCATTTTTGGAGTTCATCCACTCAAATGGAATAAAAAAAAAAAGATCTTAGTAATGATACCTATTAATTTTTTAATCAACAAAACTGAGAACAACCAACAATCAAACTCAGTAAAACTGATAAATGAGGCAAATACAGCTGCAAACTCGTGCCATTGGGGAAATACAGCTGCAATTTCATTGGTAAAATATACCATATTGACCATATATTTTTCCTAGAAAATATATTCAAATAAGTAGAAAGAGGTCTAATGCACCACGTGTTGGTTACCATACACCACCTTGAAATTGGACAAAGCTTTCTTTCTCCGGACCATACAGCATAATTAGAAAGTAGCTTTGGAGTGAACAGAATTGATTTTCCACTGGCAACATCCTGTACAAATATAGTATTATACAAGATAATAATGTGAATATACAATTGAAATAAACGTAAAGGGAATGAATTCATTTTCAAGATAATAATGTGAATATACAATTGAAATAAACGCAAAGGGAATGAATTCATTTTCATGAAGTCCATGTGCAAAATAGCTACATGCTCAAACCTGTTAGTTCAGACTTCATAATCTATCAGAGTTGAAAGAAAACAATCTAATCAATAAATTATATTTAACAGTAAATACATAAAGCATTTACAATTTATTACAAATGTCCAAATTCCAATAAATATGAGTTTCAATAATAAATGGTTAAACATTCAGACATTCCATGGAGTAATGGGCTTACAATGGCGCCATCGAATCCAAATAAATAAGCAAATAACTCTCTTACCTAAAAAAAAAAAATCCAACCACATTAAATAAAATTTTAACGGTACAGAAAAGGCAAAACGAATTAGATTAATTGTAGAGCTTCGAGTAATGGTCACACTCCAAGAACTCATTTCATTCAAGACGGGAACGTATGATCAGTGTTAACAAATTACTTTCTATAATCTTCAGCAGTGGCACGACATATAATTCAATAACGTCAAGAGAGTCATCTATGACAAGTAACTATACACTATTTGCACGGAAGAGTTCAGACCCAGGCATAATTTGTGATACATTCGCAATATTTAGAAACAGAACAGCGAATACGACGAAAATATCATAAACTTAAACATTCGTCAAGTACCTGAAGAGCTCAAGGTGGTCCGTGGGTCCCCTCTTTGTTTACTGGTTGCTCGTCGTTCAAGAGTTCGCTGGCGGAAGAGGATTTGTGGTGCTCGTAGGTCTATGGAGATCGAGTGGCCCATGGGTAGTATAGATCTAGCACCGCTCGCTCGAGATTTGGACCGCTGGGTGAGAGGGACATCGTCCGCGGGTCGTCGTTGGAAAGGAAAGCTCGTCGTGGCTCCGCTGCTATTGCGTTGAAGGTCTTGCCGAAAGATATTGTGAGGAGGGAAGGGAGGGTGTGCCCGACGGGTGTAGGGTTTGAGAGAGATGACGGAAAAGTGAAAGTGTGAAGCCCACTTTTTATTTTTACCTAATTTTCGATAGCATTTTGTTTAAATGCTATTACAAAAAGTTATTATAAAAAAAACTTATATCCAAATATTTGTTGGAGTTCTTTTTTTGGTTTTATTTTTTAACATTTGATGGACATTGTATCCAAATATTCAAATATTTAGGGCCCGTTTGATAACCATTTGTTTTTTATGTGTGGTTTTTGGTTTTTAGTTCTTAAATATAGTAGTTTGATAACCAATTCAATTTTCGGTTTTTTCTTTTCAAAAACCATTTTGAAATGTAGGTAAATTTCAAAAAAAAAAAAAATAGTTTTCAACTACAGGTTTTTGTTTTTCAAAATCTCATTTTTTCTTCTAATACTCAACTTTTTTATTCCTTTCTTATATTTATCTCTAAAAAATTTATTTTTCACTCTAAATTTTTTTATTTCTAAATTTCTCTCTACAAACTTTATTTTTCTCTCTCTAAAATTTTTATATTTTGAATATTTATTGGTATTTGTCTCTCTCCAAATTTTTCTGTATTTTTGTTTTTTTTAACAAATTAGTTTCATTTCTCCCTCTAAAAATTTAATATTTTTCATAACTTTTTTCCTCTAAAATTTCATAATTTATAACTTTTTCTTTATCTTCATAATATAGTTTTTCCTCTAAAAACTATATTTTATTTTCTCGTTCAATTTTCTTTCACTGTAACTTTGATTTATTTATTTTCTATAAAAAGTATATTTTGAATCTTGTTTATATCTCTAAATTTGTTTCGACTATATTTTTCTCTCTTTATAATTTTTTTTCCTTTAACATATCTTTTCTTTTAACTTTTCTTTCACTTTTTATTTCTAAATACTTTTATTTATCTCTCTAAAATTTATCTTCTAAAAGTTTATTTACATCTCTATTTTCATGTCTCTAGGGAAGACAAAAATTTCCGCAGGATCGGGTCCCAAAAATAGAAAATACATGTCCCGCCCCAGTCCCTTCCCCGTCCCCGGTTCCATTTTTTAATAATTAATATATATTTATTACACTTTTTTATACTTAAATTCTAAAAATAATTAAAAACAATTAAATAACTGATAATTTTTCTAGAGAACATCTCTCCGGCCCAAGAACGAGGTGGTGACGGAGACTAAAAATTTTCACGAGCCCGAGAATGGGGGAGAGCATCCTCACTCGCACCCACACCATTGTCATCTCTACTTTACATAAAATTTTCTCTCTCTAATACGTATTTTCAATTTTCTAACTTTTTAAAAACAAAAAACAAAAAATGGTTATCAAGCATATATGATTTTTGTTTTTTAAAAACAGAAAACAAAAAACCAAAAACTAAAAATAAGAAAAACCAAAAATTACAATGGTTATCAAAGGGGCCCTTAGTGGTAAAACCGATATTAAAAGTCCAACATTATTGAGTACAATTATTTTTTAATTAAATTTACTTTTCTATATTTGATGTTGTTTTTCAACTAACATTGTATATAAGTTCCTTCACCTTAGTTATTTATTATTTTTTTCCAACATTTGATGTCGCTTAAAAATCTACATCATATCTTCATAATTGATGTCGGTTCTTAATTGACATTAAAGATTCGCTTTTTTTAAACCGACATTGTAGATCTGGTTTTTTAAAACTATTATTATTTATAAACTACCAATAGATATTGATTATGACAATTGTTGTAGTGCCTTCTTTATATAGAACTTCAATCCTCACGACATAGGAAATCTAAATATAAGTTTAGGAATAAGATTGAAATTTGATTTTTTAATCTTTAATTAAAATTTTGACTTTAATCCAAATCAATTTGAAATTTGGTCTTCAATTGGCAAGCGTGTGAATCAAATTTGGCATGTGTGAATCTTTACATTCAGGACAATTTGAGAGGGTTTTTTTGTTGAGTGTACTTGGGGTGTGATTTTTGTATGAGTGTGACAGAGAGCAAGTGGAGCTGGTAAAAGCTTGTTCGAAATATCAATGAGAGAAATATCACAATTATCTTTTTGGAGGAGATTATGGATTCAATCAAGAAGATAATGAAAGAGGGCCCGATGTAGATCGATTTTATGGTTGAACCATTATAAATCGGTTCTCTTCTTTCTCTCCTTTACTTATTACTTTAAGTTCATTGATTTTTCATCTCTGTTTGCTTGATATTTGAGTAATCCATAGTTACTATTATTGTTTTGATTACTATGCTATTGTATCGTTTGAGTTAATATTTCGTTTGATTGACTTTGATTTTACAAGAAAAACAATATGACTTTTCGTGACAATTAAAGAATGTCATAAATATGTTTGAAAAACAATTATGACCTTTCGTGACAGTTAAAAAATAACGATATTTCGTGACATTTAAAAAATGTCATAAATGACATGCAAATGTTTAAAAATAATTGTAACATTTCGTGACATTTATAAAATGTCATAAAACATAGAAAAATTCGTGAGTCTCCATTTTTTCCCCTTAAAATCGCGCTTACTTTTTAATTACAGTTTAAAACTGTCATTGATTTAACATTTTTTTCAGTTTTCATGACAGTTATAAACTGTCAATTTAAAAAAAGTCTGTAAATCAGCGTTTTTTCCCACCAAATTCGCGCTGGCAACACTCATGACAGTTTTTTTTCAACCTTTGTTACTATTCATAACTGTCATGAAAGCCTAGTTTTCTAGTAGTGTTTTTATAACTAAATGTTAGTAGGGGGTTGCCTTTTTAATCCTTGTGTTTTTAATTCACGTTCACAACAAATTCACCAACTTTTATCCCAAACTCGATTGCTCATCTAAGTGATTTACAAATTTAATTTTAAAAGAAAACTAGTCCTTGTGGAAACGAACTTTGATTATTTCCAGATGATTACAGTGTGCACTTGCACTTACCCTCGAGCTATTAAGTAGAGGCGCAACAGTGTTGTAATTTCCACATGATTGGTGTCATCCCCCAACCGTGAAGATGATAGCTAAAGATGCTCAACCAATCTTAGAAGTATCTAAGTTGCAATAAGGTCCCTCATATTGGTGTCATCCTCAAAAGGATGGGAATAGAGATGGTAAACGAAGGAACGAGATGTTGTTCTCACATGATACGTGTCATCCCTCACACCGTGAAGATGATAGTTTAATATACTCAACCAATCTTGGAGGTATTATTATTGCAAGAAAGAGAAAAAAAAAAGAACGAAGATCATAAGAGATAAACGTTGATGATTAGGTGATAAGTGAAGGTTTAC